TTAAGATTAATAATCAGAACAAGCTATCAGAATAATATATATGTATATATATATAGAGATAGTCTAGAATGTCAACTAGTCTACCATCTTCTATGTTGCTCTATATCTTCCTTTATCGTACTAGCATAAGCGCCGAATTCCACATTCCGATATCCTCGATCAGTTTGCGAACATCCTTTCTGTATTATCCTGCCGATTGTGCTTGATGGCGAAAAATTATCCTTTATATCCTTTATCGGGCGGAGAACTTTAATATTTTTTACGAAACATTGATACACACTTGTTCGCAAGTGTTTAAGAAGCTCTGCAGGCTCTGGTTGGAAAATTAATAGTACTTGTAGAACTTCGCAAGAAGAAGCGAGCAAGTTCGATAAAGGATTAACGCGATTGCAGAACGATGGCCGTAGGAGTTTTCGCGGTATATAAAATTAAATGCAATTAAATTCGATTTGCCTACGCCTAATTTAGCCTGACCGACATTGATTCTGAAGCCTAGCCGCTTCCATCGAGCTCGCCTAATAAGCAAGTTTTATCCGACTTTATCTGAATTTTTTATCGATCTCGATTGCGTCGTCGATCACAACAGTCAAACATGCTATTTAATATTATGACTCCAGAAATTTTTTATTTTACTCTTGATTTTTAAAATTGATTTCTATAAAAATTTAATTTTAGCAATCATTACGAATTTGAAATGTAAGTATACAATAATCGATTGTCTGCGATTTCATGCCGCATGTCTCTGTTTTTTTTTTTTATATCTTACGACACATTTAATTCTATTTTATGTTCAGAAATGAGATTAAGTCACAAGATGAAATCAGACAATCGAGATCGATGATCCAAGCCTATGAAACGGACGGAAAAGGAAATTGCCGTGGTGCTTCCTTTTGCAGCAATTATGGGTCTGTGTGCGCGTGTAGGGACCGCTTTTCGTGATCTTTTCCCCTTTCGATTGTCCGACGGCGAAGTCCCGCGGCGAGTGGAGCTTATGAGAAAACAATGCTCCTTTTCCTCTTCTCCTCCACCTTTCTCTCTCATGTTAATATAGCGGCACACCACTGCAATGCTTAGCCGGCACAAGCATGCAACTCTCAAACATCCTCTACTACCAGTCTTAAAATCACGAAGTCTGCGTGAGTCTTTTTTTTTTAATTTCTTTTTTGGGTGGGTGGATGTGTGTGTGTATAAAAATATAAAAATCGAAGGAATTACTATACTCTTGGAGGTCTGCTTGTATCTCGCGTAGATGTGAGTGTGGTGTATGTATGTGTCTGTGTATGCGTGCTTATCTTTGGGAGTTATGTGTGTGATGTGGGAAGCACCGGCACCGCTCGAATAACGTTGAAGGATTGCCTTGGATACTCATAAAAGCAGCTATATATTTTTATAGACAGATTTCTTTTGTTTACGTTATATAGAGATCTAAATAATTTATATTGTTCTATATATATGAAACGTATATTTCAGAGAAAAATAAAAATGTTTTATTATATACTGAGATATATCTACATTTCTTCGTATTTTTATTAATTTAATTTAATAATTTTAGCGTGATTTTCAGAGTGCTGATCTTAAAATGTATAAAAAATATTCGTTTCCTTGATATAAATAAGAAATTAATTTAATTTGCATTATCTCTTATTTATTTAAGATCAATAATTTCTTAAATAACTATTTATATATGGAAGATATGATCAAATTCCCAGATGTAAAAAGATTAACTTTCAACGTTGTTCTCATTTCTTAAAAAATCTCTGCAAATTTTTTATAGGACGTTATTTAAGACATTGGCCATTTCAATTTGAAATTTAGCTCATCCACATCGTCGAATCGACACCTTTAATGACTTTTTTCAGCTTTCAGAAAAGAAAAAAATCGCATGAAACGTGACCACCAGACCGCGTATTATTTTTTTTCCTTTTTCAAAAATGAAAAAATTAAGAAATTAAACTGAACGAGAAATATAAATGTCTCATATAACACTTTGGAAAAGAATTTCCAGGAAAAAATTCGAATATTTTTTTATTCACTGTAGATATTTAGAGTGTATATTTATGTTTGGCGTGAGAGAATGTGTGTAAATTTGTACGTGTGTTGCGTGATTGTTTCGAGTCGTCTGAACAGCAATGTAGTCTGTCAAGTCTCGAGCAGTAAAAAATCTCGTGATTGCAAAAAGAAGAAAGAGAGAGAGAGAGATATATATGTAATATATAAAACAGGTATATCGTAGGTGTCCAGCTGATAGGAGTAAAAAAACGAAGAAACAAAAACTAATGCCGAAAGAGCAAAGGCATGTTAGGGTCTTGCGTAAAGCCGTTTTTCCTTTTTTTTCTTATTTACATTCGATTATCCCCAATCTACTTTTGAGCCATCGTCTCATCTCCCCCCGGTCACTCGTTCACTATATATGCGTATATTAAATTACATCGGCGTGGCACGATTTACTGTGATAAAAGAGCAAATGGAGTAATTGAAACCATTGGATAAGTGGAATAACACTGCGATCTTTCAATGATAACATGATTATTGCAAAATCGTCAAAGTACATGTAAGTAATGTTGTTAGTTGATAGAATTATATTAGAAAAATGTTAAGATATTATATTAGAAAAATGTTAAGATTGCAGCTACTAATTTTTTTGATTAAAAACATCATCGTGTTATTCACTTTACTCAAGAATTTTAATTGCTTCACTTGACCTTATATCCATATACCTATATCAGAATTTTATTTCTCACGCTATATGAACTATTTATTATTACTATTTTTACGATTATTTTTGCTACGCGTATAACTTTATTTTTAAAACACAAATAATTTCTGGTTACCAAAATATTGCAAACGATACATATATTTAGATTGGACATTATGCAGCTCTGAAAGCAGTAGACGTATATCGAATCAAATATCGATATTGAAGTGACAAAGAAACGAACGTGAAAGAAAATTTTGCATCGAAAAAAGTTCTATTGCGTATAACAAAACTGCTGTCTCTCTTTTACAGCTCTAAATAAAATTATGTACATTCATATAGGTATTATTTTAAAAAAACAATAACAATAATTTTTTTCTCGCTAAAAAATATCGACAAATAGTATCAACGATTCAATTTTAATTTTACTACAATTTTCTCAAGATTTTGTTTAATGTTCGAAACAATGTCTTCAAAACAACATGCATATACGTTGAAATAATTTTATCACGATTTAAGATTGTAAAATCATGCTCTAGAGAGTCAAGAAAACGATAAATTATATTTCACATTGTTAAACATTGATACGTGGAAACTACTAGAGAACTGCTTTCACACCATATCCGAGAGAAAGAAAGAGAGCAAGAGAAAAATGCGTTATTTTTATTCTACTACACGGCATTATAATGTGTAAATAATCTGGTTGCCTCGATGGAGTCTGTCGGATAAATTCTAAATAAAACTCGCGCGCTTTTCTAAAGTTTTAAAGTACTTAGCCCGAGGCCTTGAGCTGTGTATACTTGATACAGCAAAATAAAATTCAATGAAACTGATTATTCAAAATTATGATAATCTACGTCAAGAAAAATTTTATCGTAAACACATACACTTTCTATCAATAAAAACTGATTTTCTCTCACATACGTTACACATTTAAAAGATTTTTTAAGATACAATTTCAAACGGCATTGATTTAAATTTTTGAAATATATTAATATAAATTTTTACACAGTCTAAAGAAGTAACATAATAAAACGGCAAAATGAACGATCGGTGTGAGTATCAATTGAGCTACGTCGATGTAAAATCGAATAATAAAGCTTAAAAACGAGTTGGCCTCCGATAAACGGGGCGCTTTGGCATAAAGAAAATCTTATATGTACAGTGGGGACAAAGAACACAAATCAATGATCCTAGTGAGAGGTTTCGGGGAGAGTGTCGAGACAAGAATCCCAATTATGAGTAAGTTATAAGCAAAAGACATTTTCACAGGGGAGATACCCAGAGGTGCATCTGTCAGAGAAAAATAACATTCGCCTCATGCTCGCACCCCTCGACGATTATTTTGCACGTGCCGCTGCGGCGCGGGCGAGCATCGACCCGTTGTCGATATCGAAGCTTGAGACAACGGATGCTCTCCTAATTGGATGATGCGTTCGTTAATTCCGCAACTTCGTCCCGCTTCATTCACGCAAACTAGCGATCCATATCGATCCCGTAGTAGCGAAGTGGATTTTCTAAAGCTTTCTGCGATCATCATTGATAAAACGTACTCAAAGTATACACGTATATTCACACATGTGTATCGAGTGCGCAAAACGGTGATAAAAATCTCGTGCGCGTGTTTAAAAAATCTGTGATAAAAATCTACAAAATCCAAAAGGGCGATGCAGGAATTTGATATGGACATAATTTTCGATGATGAGAAAATTTAATCCAATTATAAGGCAAAAGCTTAAACACGTGCTAACACTCTTGATTAATGTTTTCTCAAAAAACAATATTGGAAAATCCTTTCCAATCGCGTTTTTCCGTCAGGTTCACTTAGACAAGAATTCACGCGGACTTAAGTACTTCTAAATTAATCGCGATCTTCGGATACGACTGCGTGTTTTTTGCAACAAGACGGAAATAATCGTCGAAGAAGCTGTCGAGATGTCGAGCAAAGGCGTACTAAGGTAGACAGTAGTCGTAGTAATAGTGATGAATTTGGGGTGAGATGGTGAATAAAATTTCTGGTTGCATTAAGAAATGTGTGGATAAACGAATAAACAAATGTTGAAAACAGATCTTGAAAAAGAGAGAAAAAGAGAGAAAAAAGAGAGGGTAGATTTGAGGCTGAGATTTTAAGAGGGTTTTTTTGGGATGTTCGTGGGGTAATCGACTGGTAATATATATATATATTGTATATACTGATAATAATTATATGTATATATTACCAGTGCCACTCTAGTGTATAACTGTAAAGAGGTACGGAGGAGAGTTTTCTCGGGGCCGTGTCGATATCGGGGCCCGATAATCCTACCTTGAAGAGCTGTACGCCAATGACGGCGAACACGAACTGCAGGAGGCTGGTGACGAGGACTATGTTTCCGATAGTCTTTACCGCTACGATGACGCACTGTACTACGTGCTGGGTTCACAATATTAATCACAATATATAATCGCCCTTCGTGATAGAAGAGATGAAAATTACGCGCGCCGCGCCGTATTAACGCTTGCTTCGCTCGTAGCGAACTTTAATACTAGCATTTTGTCACCGTCAAATTCGCATAGCTTTCTTGAATCGCAAAAGCGATTTTTTTTTTGGAGAGCCAGCATAATCTGGATCTTGTTAAGATTCTAGAGATACTCGGAAATGAATTTCTTAATTAAAGGTATATAGAAGTATCTTTTTTAATATCTTTTTGCAACGTATGAAAAAAAATTATTTAGGTATTGTTGCATTAATTTTATATTGGCTAAGAAAATTAACGGTAAATAATATTTTGTCGGTAAATAAATGTTCGCGTAGTGATAGTTATCACGTGTTGACTCCCGCGTAACAAAAACTTCTCGGTACATAATGTAGCGTGAACGAAATATATCGTTTCGCCGTTTAACGTGATTTTTTTTTCTAAAATTAGCTCGGCGCTCTTCCACCATTTGTATAAATAAATTGCAATTTCGCGCACGCTTAGCGATCAACGTCGGACTAACGAGAGCGACTCTTTAATCTAGCTGGCTGTGGACATTACGGTATATTATGCCGCTTATTATTACGCACTACGGTAGGGCGGTATGCTGTGAATTGGGCCGGTTTTAGCGGACTTAGAAAATATATGAGACAAATGAAAGAGATACCTTTAATCCCTTAGCGCGATTGATAGCACGCAGCGGCCTCAGTACACGAAGCACTCGGAGCACTTTGATGAAAGAGAATGCGCCAGAGCTGCAAGTACACAATAAATAACGGCACGTCAATACAAAGTAAGTTAGATGTAAAAAGAAAATACCTCTAGAGTAATCTTTCAGGCAACTTTCAAACTTTTTTTTAAACGAAACTCTACCTCCAAGTTTAATGACGCCATTTGCGTTCTTTTTATACAATGAAAAGTTGCACGATTACAATTGCAATTAATTAAAAAGTTGTAAAAGACCAACTTTGTCCTCTTTTATATTTTCATATACAAGACTAAGTTATGAATATTAATATAAAGAATAAGATCATACGCGTTGGGTGTCATAGAGAGGAGAGAAGCGCAAACGACGAGAAGATCGAGCAGATTGAAAGCCGACCGGCAAAATGCGCCCTTGTGAATGACGAAGCCGTACGAGATCATTTTGAGGCAGATCTCGACCGTGAAAACTGCAGTGAAGAAGTAGTCAAAGTTGTTCAGTATCTATAACATGAAGCGCACACCAGCTATTTCGTTAGCCATCTTAAACAGATATTTCGATATAGTTCCGTTGAAATTCCGAAGAAATTAATGGATATCTCAACGGCGTGGCTAAAAAAAATTAAAGAATTGATTCGTCTTTCGGCGCCTTATCGGATACCTTATTTCTGTCCGACTGGCTTCTCAGTGGGTCCTCGGCGGCCAACATGGCGGAGGAAATCATAATGCAAATCAATATCACGTTGCTGAAGTAACTATGATTGCAGAACCAATGGCAGAACACACGAAACCTGCGAAACGAAAAGAGATATGATTTTAGAGTGGCTTTCGATAAAGATACATTATACGAAAAATGAAAAGATTGGAAAAGTTCGATCGAATTATTCTTTATATTTTGTCTTGGCGGCTGAAATCGAATTCTTCAAAAAGCTTCTTGTACCTATTAGTGCTTGAAAAAATAAAGAATGCTGAGCCGGCCGGGATCGGTTCCTTCTTGGCGGGCGTGTTGTACTCGGACATCCTTCGCGGTCTAGCCGTCACTTCCTGTCCGTCATCTGCAAAAGAAATTAGTCTCTTTTCTTGTCTTTATATAGCTCTACTGAATTTTACTTTACTCGCTTTTCTCGCATGTAACGGGAATATCGAGATCTTAAAACAATTGAATGAACAGTTTTTCTTTCGATTATTAGTTCTTGAAACGCACAGAAATGTCAGACTAACTAACCTTGCATTTCTTCTGGCTCACCTTCCTCCTCTTCCTCTTCCTCCACTTCTTCGTCAGACTCAACGTTGAGTCGCACCTTATGCGTATTCATATCCTCACTTTTCTCAGACCTGCATAATTAGCGGTAATTATTCGACACTGATTACGTTCTAAATGTGTTTCTTTTAACAGACTTTTTGTAGATTCGACTTTCCGGTGTGAATTCTTTAGAAAAATCTATGAAAAAGTAATTGTTTAAATAAAAGATTCTACAACTTTTTCAATATCTCTCATAAGGGAGAAGATGAAATTCTTCAATTAAGACAATTTAGTACCTTTGATAAAGACGTTAAGTAATAATTAATGCCGCTAAGTTTCCTAATAAATTTGGTTTGAAAATGAAAATTAAAACGAAAATCACGTATTGCGATGGTCGTATCACGACCGCTGCGTGTCGTCAGTCCTTGTATCGTGATTATCGATTTTTGCGAATCCCCTTGAGTTTTACGGATCATAATAACGTTACATAAGAATGAGAGTGCGTAATATGCTCTTCACAATCTCGTTAATGTAATAATGCACATCATTATATTACAACTTCCACTGTGTTATAAGAGGGGACTTACGTTTCGGTATCGAGTGCGGCCTCGTAGTCCTCCATTGTCTCATTAGGATCGTGTTCGAGATCTGTACCGGCGCCCTCGTCCTCTCCGCCGGTCCCCTCGCCACCGTCATCGCCACCCTCGCCGCTGATTTCGTCCCTTGCTGGTGAGCCGCTGCGAGATTTATTTTTTTCCGCCTGTAGAATAGAGGAGGGTAATTATCTGCCAAGTCAAAGACATTCGATCAAAGACAACAATCGATGGGCAATCAGTAACAACGATCTCGTACAAAAAAGTATCCCAGCGATATGCAACGCCCAGAACAAAATTTCTGGGGATGGAATAATATTTATTGAAATAAAATATAAATACGTTACCTAAGTAATAGAAATTAAATCCATATGTTTTATTTAACCAATAAAATTTAATTCAATCTTAATTATGATTTCATTGATTCAATTAATTCAATTTCTCTGCATTGCAGACATCTCACACACAATATATAGAGTCTATTACGTCTGTCAGAGAGAAAAATAATCTGTGGAACTAATTAAAGGATTTATTGAAGAACACGAATTACATTCGTGCATTTATATCAAATAGAATAGGCTAACATGTATTATTGTCCGACTATTAATGTCATTATTGTGCAAAGCTCTTTCTACAAGTCAATAACGCACGCGCTCGCAAATATTAAACATGAAGTACATCAGTACGTACACAAATATTTGGTTATTGTTATCGTAGAGTATGCCAAATTCCCGAGTTAATTATATCTCGTTAATGTCCCTGTGTAGGGTAAAACCTGTTCATTGTTTACGAGAAAACGCGAATTCATCACTTTCTACGCGTTGTAAAATCGAAAGATGAACGCGATATGAACATTGGTAGTAAAAAGTTCGATGAGATAGAAAGAGAGAAAGAGCAATAAACTTTTTATTACCATGATCTGATTGTGCAACTCGCGTTGCAACGGGACTACAAACTTCTTTTATTACTTACAAAAGCGTCGTTGGTAAACAATAAGATAATACTCTGTATATTCGAACATTCAAACATCAATTCCGACACGTCTCATCCTATCAAAAAGAGAACGAAACGTTGGAAGAAATTATATTTCTCTACGTGTCTAGAGAAATTATATTTCTCTATGTGTGACAATCATAAAACAATAGATACTTGATACGTAAAAATTAAAAACTTGCTGAATACACAGAAACTGAGTGTTAAATAACACAGCGAGATGTACGACGGCGTTGTATATTTATGAGTGCAACAAGGTGTGCGTCGTACATTAAGGAACGCACGCTTGAAACTTGGCGGGATCATAATTTTCGTCGAGCAATCAACAGTTTTTCCACAATGTTGTTTGGTCGTTATCCACAAGCATGATTAATCAGCTTTCGAACTTTGCCGCTGCGGTTTTAAACTACCTTACGAGTAAAATTGCGTTGCTCGCGTCGCGTAACTTCGTGAATTGCAACGGCTGCACATTCGATGAAGGAAGCCCGACGTTACGCAGGCAATTCTCCGGTCTCCGTATAACATTAATTTGACTAGTTCCACGTCAATTTGGATCAATTTTAGTTTGGGATAAAATTAGAGTTTGAAATTGACGGAGTTATCTGTCGTTAAAAATAAACAGAATTCTGGGGCACTGTGTGTTTGACTTTAGACATTATGGAAAGCGTCTCTCGTTATGCGAAAAGGCTACACAAGCTCCTCGACTGAATTAATATTATTGGAACGATCAATCTCACGTGATAAAATCCGAGGAAGAAAATTAGAGCAGCCCTTTTTATCGCTCTTTATACGCACGGGCGTTAAACGCGACGTTCATTTACTCGCACTTGAGGAGATAGACGTCGTCTTGTCGTCATCGGCCTTCAGATTTATTCGAGCGAGCTCGCATTGTCTGTAATCGCGCATCATAATATCCACTTCTCGCAAATGCTTTGCACGCGACGTAAAGACGCGCTTCTCTCCGTGAGAGATCGTGAATTAGCCTGATTGTTTATGGAAATCCGGAAGAAACGGCTCGTTCAAGAGTTACGCGATTCTACAATTCTCACAGAAAGGCGCGATGACGTGTACTCAAATTTATTGCTTCTTTTGTGTCAAGGCCTTTCTTATATCGAGGGACAGCATATACATATAATTATGTTTTTTCATTAATTTAATGGAAGGCTTGAAAAGTGTGTCATTCAATAGAAAGACAAGGTGCTACAAGAACATTTTAAGATATATCGTGTACGTTATTATACAGTAGCAAGAGTTATTATGAGTACAAGTTTTTAAAAGAATAAAGATTTTTAATGAGAGATACGAATCTTGGCAAAATAGGGAGAAGAAGATTTCTCAATATAGTTCAATACAGCTATTTAATTATTCAACGAAGCTATTGTGCATGTAGGTATTACATTCACGTTAAATTCTGGTGCTCAAAAGCACCGGCAATCTAATAGGTACATTATAGGTATCTAAGTTCAATATCGTATGTATGAAACTCACCTCCTCCTCGGCCTCCTTTTCGATGGCAGTCAGGGACTCGGCATCAGCGAGATTGTCGACGGCGATAGCCAAGAACACGTTCAAGAGGATATCTACGTTGCTATCTTCGTCAAGGATCGATTAAAATTTATGAAATCAGACCGAATCGATAGTACACGGCGCGCGAGAAGGGAAGGGACAATTGTTTCGTCGCCGACTTATCTTTTCGATAAAGGATACAATTGCCGCATATGAAGAGGATAATGAAATAAACACAGGCGAGCACGCCGATACTGGCGACGCCGCCGTAAGCTCGAATCCCGACGTACATCACAGCGTTCCAGTCCTCGCCGGTTAATATCTGGAGATGCAGAAGCCGAGCGTGCCACATTATTTTTAGAACGGAGAAGAAAAATAGAGACGTGCAAAAATAAGAAATGAAATCAATCTCGGAGTTAAACGTCGTGATAAATCAGGAATTTCGCGATTTTACAGATTACTGTGTTTGAGTTTCCTTTTTCGTGAAAATGAATTAAATACCTGAAATACAGTGAGCAGGCTCTGCCAAAAGCTGTCAAAATTGTAACGCTTCTTTTCCTCCATGTCACTGAAATTGAACTTCCCACCGAAGACCTATTTAAATTTCGAAGAATTGAATTAAAAGGCGTTCGCACGTTGGTACATCGTTACAGATACTTTACGCATGAATCTACCTGCATGCCCAGAAGAGCGAAGATCACAATGAAAAGGAAAAGCAGAAGCAACAGCGAGGCGATCGATTGTATCGAGTTCAATAAAGAGGCCACTAAATTCGACAGTGATCTCCAATATCTGCAAACAAAAGGATAACTCACAATGTCACATTTATCTTGCGCGTTAAAATTTAATTTATTTTCTCCAAAGAGACGTGTCGTAGTGTGACACTATACGATAAATTTTGATGACACAATTTTGCAGAGTTTGATGGACCTAAATTACGTCTATAAAAAGATTTGGCTGATACATATGCGTACTCACTTCGTCACTTTGAATACCCTGAGCAGCCGGACGCAACGGAGTACGGAAACGCCAAGAGGCGGCATTATACGTGTACGTGTAAGTATCATTTCGGTGATCGAGCCGATCACGACGAAGCAATCGAAACGATTGAACAACGAAACGAAATAACCCTGCGAAGTAAATTACAATATCTGAGGATTAATAGATGCCTCATTTACATTTTTTGGGGGAATACTACGTATCCCTCTCTTTCTATTTAATGAGATAATATAGGACCTTATTAATATAACATGCAAACACATATCAATAATTATAAATAATGAATATTAATTGAGTGATGATTACACTATAATTTCAAATATCGAGAAGAATCGAGAAATATGTGCTACGATAATCACTCACCTGAAAGCCTAAACTGTACATTTTTAATATCATCTCCATGGAGAACAGCACGATGAAAAACATGTTTGTAATTTCTGATGGCAAAAAGAGGGAAACACGCGTTACAAAACGCATTGCTGAAGGCGCCGGAGCGAATTTATAATTAAAGGCAAACAAGTCGACATTATTTCCGCGGTAGTAGCGACGCAGCGATATTTACCTTGAAATTGGTCCAACCAGGACGGCTGACTGTAGTGCTCCGTGGCGAGAACGCCGGTATTCAAGAAGACCAGAACTATGATGAGCCAATAGAAGACCTGGGACTTCACAGCCTTCCTACAGGCTCTTCGCATCCGCCTGTTCACTCTGTGAATATTCACATCACAATGCGCCATGTAACTTGAACTTCACACTCGCTCGTATACACAAATGCTTAGAGAATCTTTGAGCTTGTCAGACAAATGACGCTTTGATCTCTGTACTGACGTTCCTCGATACGCATAAAAGCGCGACAGTATTTCTGAGAAGGAGTCTTTCTGAAGTCTATCATTGATTGTGAGATTCGTCGAAATATCTACTATAATGACTATTCACGGGAGATTATTTATTTCTTAAAATGAACATTTAAACGTACTTTAAAACCGCGATTTTCAGTGAGACAATTTTCAGTGTCGCAATTACCTTTCTAAGTCCCGTTTCTTCTTTTTGTAAAAAGACTCTTGCTGAATCCCTTCCTCGTCACCCTCCAATTGGTCCGTACTCTCTATTTCGTTTTGCTGCTTAGCTATGTAATATTAAACGTTCAAACTCAGTCAATTAATTAACAACCTTCAACTAGGGAGGGAAAGTTATTTCATCACGTGGAATTGGATTTGGTGTGACAACTTCTCGAATTTAATTTACGCACTCCTACGCGCGTATTTGCATAAATGCACGACATACGAAACATATCGCAATTACATAAAATTCTCTTGTTTTTATCCACGGTTATTATTACTAATATAGTATCTAAAATTACTTTTTATATAAAGAAATATTATTAGGTACCAAGAGCCACAGCTCCGATCGTAGAAGACGCTCTTAAAATTATGGTTTTCATTTACACGATTTAATTGATACTACTTTTTATATACGTAAAATCATTTTTACTGAGTTTTTTTTATTATTATGATTATAACAGATAGAATATCGCGAAATTGTTCCAAATTATTTTCAATGAATACACTTATCTCTAGTACTTTAATTTCGAAAAATTCTCTTTCCCTTTGGACATACGTACTTTTCCCATCTTGCATTTTCGGCTCGTCGGTCTCCGGCTCGATATCCTCGGCCTGCGTTATCCAGTCGAGGTAACCCCTGAGATCGTCCTCGATCTGCTGTTTCTCCCTGAGCTTGTGAAAGTCGCCGCGCGCCTTCGCCTTCTCTCTCTCCTTGGAAAATTCACTACACGAAAGCGGGACAAGTGCATGTACGGTCGCCTCGTGATTAGAAGTACGGCGCGCGAGACGTGTAATTGGAACATTTCAAAGGCAATGAAACGGAAATCGAGACGCGCGTGTAAAAGGTATCTTCTTTATTTGCCCGCACTTCTTCGAACCCGCTCGAACGAGGACAAGTACGATGTAAATACGGTCTATTCGTATCGGGAAACATCCAGCGAAACGCTCTTCTCTTCCGACGTTCATAGTCTTTCTTCTTTTATGCGGCAAGTAGAACAGAATCGATCCACATGCCACTAAGGATCTAATTATTATAGGAATAACGTCTCTTGATGAACGTGCATTTCGATAAAAAATTTAACCCGATATGAACATTTTGATATATAAAATTTCATATTCTGTTAAACTCTTGAAATGCAATTTTAATTACACTGTTTTTTACCTTTCTTTTTACTAAATTTCTGCGATATTAAGAAACGTGTTTCGTCACTATGTTGACTTGTTTTTCGAGCAGTCTTCGAAATATATTTCAAACGTGCATTTTGCGATGTTTCCGATAACGAGAGTGTTTGCGCGCGTGGCGTTAAGCGGCGGGATAAAACGTAAAAAGGGAAGGAAGTTAAATCGCGCTTGTCATCGATACCGTTTTCACGCCTCGATTAGCCGCGCATCCTTTACCGATACGCAATGGAGTGTGTGCATGTGTATATGTATCAACCTAAGAAAGAGATATTTTTATCTCGTTCCCCCGTCCCCCGCGTCATCAAGGATTGCAGAACTTCGCAAGGATAGATGTCACGAGCCGCTTCAGCGGATTAAAGTGATCCGTGGGATTCGCGGCAATTCGAAATTATTATCCTGTTGTATCGATAAATATCGTATTTATCTGTACGCACAGTAAATTTAATAATATTTAATCTACCATTCTTAATATTTCGTGAGATTTAATTAATCAAGTAAGAACTGCAATCTTTAGACCTTGACTTATTTTTTCCGCGACGAAAGCTGCCTGTAGAGCAAGATTTTTCTCAACACTTACCCGGACAACACACCGAGAATTAGATTCATCACGAAGAAAGCCCCAAGGATGACCATCGAAATGAAGTATATCCACTGCCACGAACTTCCCATCGCATCCTCGATCTAGATGAAACACAATTACGAAGAGATTTAGCTTCTCGAAGGAGTTTGTGTCGTTTCTTTTTTATTATTTAAAATCAGTGATATATATCTGGAAATTTTGCAAAAAATGTACAGTTGAAAGTCAATCTTTAATATATAGTGCAGTATATAATGCAAGTTTATACATAATTTCATAGAAAAGAGTGTGCGTTTACGTTTCTCTCGTTTGATTAAATAAGATTATATAAATATGACTAGAGACTCCGCCAAATCAAAACATGAGTATTATACGTGCAGATTTTACATTATAAAGCACTTCCGTCCAGCCCTCGAGGGTGATGCACTGGAAGACCGTGAGCATGGCCAGTCCGAAATTGTCGAAATTCGTGATGCCGAAGTTCGGGCCCTCCCAGTACTGCTTGCTGCAGTGATAGTCGGGTCCGACCCGAGAGCACTGGTACCCTCCGGGATCGCATGGTACCGGATCTTCCATTAACTCGCCTGCGATATAAAGGGGAATCAAATTTTTAATCTCGACGGGATAACGGCAGTCGCGGAGCGTAAATGAGGTCGGCACTCCGCGTTAAAACTTCTAATTGGCTCGAGTTGGTCGGGTAAACGAGTTTAACGTATCATAACATGTTAAAATATTTGCACATTTTTCTTGCACGTACACCTTATGCAAGGCGGCTCAAGACTAGGCTCTTTTCTTCGCTAGCACGAAGGCGATTTATTGGCCTTTCTGTCTCGCGCTTCTCCGATATGTACATAGGTCGATTAAAGGAGCTCGTTGCTTTGTTAAACTTTAAATTACGTTGGGCTGACACCGCCGGCCGCACGGCAAATTGTATCTGTAGCTCTTATCAAATTAAAATAATGGACATAATTGCTAACTAATTAGCTTCGCCTATTAATGGCACATAAATATAGGACAACAAGAAATATCGAAAAATCAACTAAAGTACCAATTAATTAATATAAATTAATTTTAATTAGTTGAAGTAATTATTACAATTGATTGTTAAAATTAACGTTGGCTCTACAATATCTTTTTGTATGTGTCTATATAATGTATACACAAACAACTAAACTATTAAGTAATTAATAGAAATTAATTTTATATGGGTAGAATAAGTTGAGCATTCTTAGATGTGAAGTTAGCACATTTTATTCATTTTTAAAAAACAATAACAGTTCCAGTAACATTTTCTATGATTCTATCGTTCCTGATGAACATTAAAAAATGTTCCGTATTTTTAATACAAAAAAATAAAAAGTAAGAAATGACATGCTAATTTCACATTCCAGCACGGCTCATCTCTCTTTAAATAAACACTAAATAAACTCTGATAAAAATTTTTTAAACAATTCTTATTTTTGCCGCTAGCGTGGCGTTCGACTAAAATATGGCTGATAATTCTCGGCGATAGTTCTGGCTTGTTCCGATCGAGACGATGCGAGTGAATCATTTTCAAAAGTTCTGTTGTTCTGTCTTATAAACATTTTTTCTTTATGGCTATGCTAACATTAAACTTAAGCTAGCACAGCCATTGTTTTTTGCGAAACGGCTGCAGCGAAAAAATTAGGATTAGAGTAATCAATTAGCAAGTAATTTTTATATAAGTCGCATTTGATTGTGCTAAAGTAGCTGTGACAGCTTAGTAGACGTATTAAAAATTCGGACTAATTTTTTAATGTTTAATGTCAAGAACGATTCAAATATGAAAAGTGCTACTAGAACAAGTATTGTTTGTTAAAAATTAACAAAATGTACTAACTTCACAGATGCCATTCTTAGTTTAATTAAAATGAGATTTGGTAGGCTTCCATATATAGACATAAAAAATAGAAACTAGAGAGTTCTAGGTTTTCAAGAAAAAAGTTTGATAAGAGCATTGTAAGACAAACTTTTTTCATTTTCGTTGCGCTCTCTCTCTCTCTCTCTCTCTCGGAGTTTTCGTATCGCCCAGGCCCGACACCATCCCTAAGCTATTTTACACATTCCTGAGAATCAGCTGTTCGTCGTTCAAGAGGCACGCAAGTCGCACGCGCGCCTCTCGCGCTAATAATAATTAGACGTTAGTTTCGCGTCTGTGTCTCGGTTGAATCATATCTAAAATAGCCGTCTCGGTGGAAAGTGTGTTTCGAGGCTAAGCCGGGAGTTCCCCTAGAGGGACTCTCGCCAGATTCCCTTCTTGCCCAATTTCAATGTATTCGATTTTTTTTTTCATTTAATCACCAATCAACAACTCTTAGGAACATCTACAAATATTGCGCAATAATTCAGTGAGCTTCGCGACATTTCGCATTGCCGTTCTCATTACGTTTTTTTACGGCCTCTTAACAGATCAGAGACAAAATGCATAAATTTCTTAGCAGGACCAGCATCAAGAAACCTCGAGTGTAATATGAATTACGTTCATAATTATTTAAAAGTTATCCGTACTCTTATAAATAAGCACTCTCTTTTTATACGCGAAAGAAGGAAATTATAGTTTTTCTTAAAAAAGATAGAATCACGTGCAATATGCAGTTAATTTCTAATGATGCATCAAATAAATTAGTTTCAAAATAACCTTAAAAAAATACCAAAATTAAATTTTTCTAAAGATCTGAGCCCCGGAAGAATATAATAAATATTGAGAGTATCGATTCATGATTGCCGTCATGAAAACGTTGCATCGTTTATTAAATGTTAATTGTGAAATCGCAGACTTACCGGTTATGTTGTGCCGGCATGTTTTGTGCATCTTCCCGGAGAATAGCTCGAGGCCGATGATAGCGTAAATGATGATGACGAAGAGAACTAATAAAGCAATGTGCAAAAGTGGTACCATCGCCCTCAAAATGGAGTTTAGGACCACCTGAAGACCTATACAGATAAATTTATTTTTATTAATTATGCGTCATTCTCATTTTAATTCTCTAAACAAAATATATTTGAGCGAAAGAACTACGATTTTATTAACATTTCACTCATAAATTGTATTCAAATTTTGTTAATTTTTAATGATGATTTCTGTGTTTATTTTTGCAAATGAAATCATTCAATCGCGTTTACATTAAGCGTTTCGATCTTACTTGGAACACCGGAAACCAGCCTGAGAGGACGCAGAACGCGAAACGCCCTTAAGGCCTTGACGTCGAAACCCTCCTTCATCAGTATCGTTAACACCGTGCTTATCATTCTGCAAAGAGGAACGCAAGAAATGTTTCTATGCAACAGACGAGGATTAATGACTTGACGATAAAATGAAGACTTGATAATGAAGGCTGTGAAAGTCATTTTCCCGGAACGTAATTTGTCCCTGAAGAAAAGGGCTTTATGTGCCAAGGCTAATAGCACTACACCGTGTGGCGGCATTTACGAGAACATTTATGAGGCATAAAAAGTGGGATGGGGGTGAGCCTGGAGGGGGGGAGGGTGGAGAAGGAAAAATTTTTCCCAACCAACAAGATTCGCTGAAAAAAGGAAAAACAGCGCTTTCCGGCACCTTTTTGTTCCCGGCACGTGCAATCTTTCGTGTCGCGCCTTTAAATTACAATGTTCCCGCGAACGTTCGACGAACGTGACGTTGTCGTAAACGAGCCGAGATGAAGGGTGAACCGTCAACCGGAAGGAAACGATCGCATCGGATGAGACAATTTCGAATGTTACCGACGGCTGCATTTTCCTCGTGCATTAGGCACCATGTCATTTGAATAATGGTCCCCGCGTAATGGTCGACTCGAGTGGGGGTGGGCAGGGTGTAGGGGAGAAGAGGGAAATGGATGTGCCGCATGTTCTCTCTCGCGGGACATTAAGACGGATCGATTCGCCGTGTCATTAGCCGAAAACGATAAAGTTATCGGACGGCAAGTCGGATATACGCGAAATGTACCACCGAAACAGGCATAGCTACGCCTGTCGATCCGAGAGTCCACCGTATCTGAGATCTCGCGGAACAATCCGCGCTGCTCGTTTGCGGAAATAAATTCGCATCGCGGATCATTAACCGGGAAAATAGCGGGATAGAGGGACGGGGGATTGGCCGACATGCTCTGTTTGTCAAACTCCTCGGTATTTTACGCGCGCACACGTGTGCACGTCTGTGCGAGGCTCTCCCGTTTCTTTATCCTGCAAAAATCGATGATCGCGAGTAAACAGGACATCATTATTTACATCACGTATATATACAGCGCGCCACAATATCGTAGCAGTAATAATTGCGTAAAGGCGTATCGAGTCCCCGCGCCGATACTCTTTATCAGATGGCTTGTACCGGCATAGGGAGTGTTGCAATCATGTTTAATGATTTTTTATGCCTCTTGTCTGCGAAGAAAGCGCATTTTTTTTCTTTTTTTTTTACGAAACATTAAAAGCAAACACGGAATGTTATTTTTATTATTTTTGAAAAAACAATATGCATTTCCGTTAAAATTCCAATAAATACCACGCATAAGCGATTTAACAATCGCGAATGTAAATCCCACGTGTAGAACCGATCCGCGAAGTATTAATTGCGGCGAGAGTTATCAACGCTCGACCATGTGAAAAGGGACAGACCTATTAGGGCATTATCGACTTAAGCGGCACTCGTAAAATTTCAATCCCCCTCCGATCTGCTGCGCGCTGTTGTACCGCGACTGGATTTAATTTACACGCATGAGCCGTGACATTATGTCGACCGACCGGCCGTGGGATTATTTCGCTGATTTCTCACATACGGGCTTCGTGATAATTCAGCCCGTCACTTCGTCGCATCCGTCCGATGAACGAAAGGATTTTTCGAGTAATATTTCCTTCCTTCCGGCGGCACCTTCCGTCTTCGCTCTCGTTCGCCTCGTCCGTCGCGCCGTCAATTTCACTTTATTTACGCTTCGCGAAGTACATGGCCGGACCGACTCGTTCGTAAAGCTCGGCGCTTAAATCAATTTTATTTCCGTAGCTTCAAACACTCTCGCGTGCGCATTCGCGTTTTTTATGAAATAAATACGACGCGCCGTTTCCGTGTTTGTCCGTAACGCGAGTTTCACAATTTTCAGTCTGCTCTTTTTTTTTAATTATGTACACGAAAACACGAAAATACAATAACTCCAAAAAAAGAATAACTTTGTTTAGGTGCTTCCACTATAATCGATATTATAATAGAGCGAATGCAAAATTGCTTTATTATTTATGAAATACACTTTTAACTCCTATAAATATTAAAGCTCCACTGATTAAGGTCTTTTTTAGACTGCTATGACAAACACTGTCGACATTCTTCGCCACGTTTTGTAAAGCGAAATTATTCTATGTAGAATTATAATGTTCATATTCATGTTTTAAATTCTATTGAAAATCTATATAATTCTTTTGAAAAAATGTATTAGAGGTGAATTCTAGTGAAAGTGTGTATTAGATTTTGTGAAAGTAACTTGATCGTCGTTACATCTGCGATAAGCGAACGTCAAACTCGAGTTGCACTACGAGTTGTCGCTGCGCCTTAACGTTCATCGAACGTCATTGACAGTGTGTGCACTGAGAAGACATCACCAGGTGCAAACTATCCACCGTCAAAGTGTATATGATCGTCATGCATTATCGATTACGTCGGCATTGGTCCAATTAACTCGATATAGGTTGTTAGGTACTATCTTCGTCGACACTCGCCCATCGGCCATCGAATTCGGGAAAAAGTGAGTTTATTATAAAACAACGTCGGGGATATTATTGGATATTATGATGCTACAAGGGCGTGGTTTTTAAATAATTTTCACTATTTATTAAAAAATTGAGGTGAAAGAAATAGGTGAACCTGGAGTGAAATGACCGAGAGTGGCTAATCTCCCCCCAGAAATGCAGCGAAGAAAAATTTGAAAGGACTTACATTCGCGTAACTTTTTTAATTAATTTTATCATAAATAATAATTTAATTCTAACAGATTCAATCGATATACTTTAAAGTCTGCGCAAAGAAAGCCTAGATCCTTTTATAGACAGGAGGGGAAGTAAATGTAGATTTTTCAAGGTTAACGTACTCACCCAATCACGACTATCGTGAAATCCAGCAAGTTCCAGCCGTTGCGGAGGTAAGCTCCTGGATGCGCGACGAAGCCGTAAGCTATGATCTTCATCACGCACTCCACCGTAAAAATCACAAGAAAAACGTACTCTATCTTCTCCTGCAACACCAGAGGAAAAATCGCCGTGAAAAATATGAAGGGAGATGCACTGGCGTAGATCGATTGCCTCTAAAAGAGCCTTTGAGGAAAGTTACAAATAGAAAGGCCTCTCTCGGTGCTGCCCGTCTTAGACGTCGGAAGGAGGCCACTTTGATTGATAAGCGCCGGACGGATAAGACACTTTCGCAATTTGGGCTCTGCGACACGTCGGTTCGGCGTCAACCGGGGGGTGGGTGGCAATTAAAACGAGCGGCGGAAACAAATGGCGGCGGGCTGCAATTAAAAACGCACGAGACCGAGAAGACAATGTTTCGCGCGCACGTACACGAACGTCTTCGTTAAACATTTAAAGCACGAGCGTCGCGGTTGCAGTTGGATTACAGCGAGTTACGACGGAAACGTGATCGCCGTTAATCGGATAGGAAAAGTAGTGTCAATGCGCACCGATATTTTTTTTTAGGGACTTGCATGCAGCAATTTTTTTATTTGCAAACGCGATTTGCGTATAACCTGTTGCTCCCTTCTTTCTTCGAAAATCTTTTGTTTTGCGTTAATAAGATTAGGCTGCGATAGCAAAAATTTTAGCAATCTTTTCCAAATTTTGGAACTTTGATTAACTCGTTATATGAAGCTACGGAGTTAATTAATTATAATGTCAGCTATACAAAACTATACAACACTCTGGAACTTGTTCCCGTGTACTTCTTTTTAATGACAGGTGACCGATTAATAAAATTGATAATCGTGCGACATAAAAGTAAAATTTATTTTACTGTACAGGGTTTATAAAGCAGAGAATAATATAACACAAAACATGTGGAATGCAATAATAATACATTTTAATCGGAAACAAGAGAAAATGCGAAAGCAGACGTACATTTTATCAAATACATTGACGAGTGTAGAATTAACTTTTTGATCTCAATTGCTTCTCATTACCAAGACTCGTCGACAATAGTATCAGTAACATTGTCGGCCAGCGTCGCGTAAAAGGGTTAATCGACGCATGGCGTTGTGGTTGCGGCGGCCAGGGTAAGAACGGCACAGGCCTTGGTGAGAAAAACAGGCGAAACAAAAGGAAGAAGCGACGAGTTAAAAATAAGGTTGAAGTGCACTCGCTCGTACACATCAGAGGTAGAGGAAAAAAGCTCCGCTGTGCGCGGAGAAGGCGGTGGATGGTGGATGTTAAAAGGGAAGTTGTGAAAGGCGCGAACGCGACCACAGAGAGGACACGAACTATCTCTTTCTCTCTCTCTCTCTCTCTCTCTCTCTCCTCCCCCTTTTTCTTCCCCTGTGCGGCATCCATTACGTTTAATTTCCGAAATCGATCGATTATTGGCCCACTGAAATAGGCTCAAGCGCGCATTATATCGCCGGCCGCCCGTGTTGCCCGCCGATGCGTGACACGTGGGCCGCCGTTACATCACTTTGAAGACGCGAAGTAGAATATAAAGTAGAATATGAGGAACCCTTTTTCCCGAAAGTTTTGATGGCAGTCGCGCCGTCTTCTCGTATACTTTATTATTACTTGCTTTACTGTGAATTTATTCTCCTTTTGGGAGCATAAATATTATGTAGCACTTTAAACGAACTGATAGCGCGATTTTTCGATGACTTGCATTCGTCAGATTTCGTGATTTTCCTTTACTGAAAAGTAAATATGCCATTCGTTATTTTATTGGGCTCTAAATATAATTTAAAAAATTCATCACAATTATATGATTGATAGATTCAATAATTTTATACGAAAAAAATGAAAGAAAATGAAATACTAATGCTGTTATATTTTTCATCTATCACTTATCAGCTTTATTCTCTAAACTCTAAAGTCCGTTTCCATATACATAAATTAAACCCCTTTAATTAATTGTCTATCTCTTCTTCGAATCATACTTGAGTATACATTCCATTATCACGACAGTATTTTTCACTAGAAAATGCATTGTAATATATTTGTATCAACGGTCACACGAGGGTTAACACACATACCCGATATATGAGCGAAATATGAGAAGAGCAGGTGTTAAGGCCAGGAAGGTAGATATTATGCAAGTGTACTTGCCAAATAATAGATCCGTCGCTGCGATATTAAATGCCAGATTGCGTTCGACTAACGAATATTTTATCGCCTATGAGAGATTAAACTGTTCGATTTGTCCCATATAATTTTGCTACTGCAATACAGAGCCTCTAATCAGAGTGGCGCCATACGGCTGCCATTTTTGATTGGTGGATGATTTTGTATGTGATGTGTTGATAGACTGAGTGAGACATATTTTCTTTCTCTCTCGCAGAATTTGGAAGAAAAATGGCGCCACTCTGATTAGAGGCTCTCTACACTGCAGCAGTTAATATAGGTACTTGTGAAGAGAGAGAGAGAGAGAGAGAGAGAGAGAGAGAATCTATATCTCCTTATCATAATGATTTTATAATCAAATAATACGATCAATCGACATTACTTATTTCATGAAAATTATTATATAATTAAAAGATAATATTTGTCAGACACGCTGAATTTCAGCATATGAATTAACGCGAACAAAATTGTAAAAAAGTTAAATTTCTTTTACCTAAAAAATAATAGATATTCATGAAAAAAGTTAGCAACATACTCGGGAAGTACATATATTGCGAATTTAATATAGTTTCATAATCTTGTGGCGATAAAAGATATCAAAGTTTTATCCCGATTGAGTTGGACGAAGAATGAAAAAGTTTTTAAAGAAGTAGAGATCGATCTTAAGATTTGCGACTTTTTGAAGTTTGCAACTAAATTCGAATTTTCTCCCGGAGGCATTGTTCTTCGCTCCCCGTTTCTCCGGAGATGCTAAACGAGCAACAGTGCATAAAAAAAAATGACACGTGAAAGATAAATTAACAAGGTACATATATAATTCTATAAAATTTCGATACGACAAATAGTTGCCTCTATAAAAAAAAAATTCCCGCGAAAGAAATTTGCCGTTTAATTATTAAGGATTTCAGTATATTTTGCATACATTTTTAATTATCTCGAATGTATATGTAGATTTATTGTTTACTCTAATTTCAAAATTTTTTTATATCTTCCACTTGATCGTTTTTAGAAATATATATTATAATTATTCTCAATGTTAGTAAAAGCTTTTTTAAAATAATGGATCGTGCAAATCAATATTTTTACGTTCAATAAGTGAACGTTAAGCTGTCACAGTTGACTTCGCGTTCATACAGGCAGCTTTCTGCGAATTTCCCGTTGGCCTAATCTCAGCAAAGTTTCCTCCCGGTATTAATTAGCGCAAGGGATGTCCTTTGAGTGACGCAAAACGAAGTCACACCCTTTGGCAAGGCACGACAACGGCGCGATCCCACTTTAGCACATGCATAATATGACGCAAAACTGAATTTCGAGTTGTTATCGAGCAGCCTCTCTGTGCACACAGGCGAGTGGGCAACCCCCTACGTGTAAGTTTCTGTCGCTGCGCGAATCGAACCTCCTGCGAGTCTTATCTTGCGAACGTGAGCTTGAGCAGTTTCCGCGAATATCGGTAATTATAAGTGACTTTTGAAGTGTCCAAATGCCCTGGAGGTAGTGGGGAGAGTAGTCTCGACTAATTCTCGCGCTAAAGCGGCCTACATGTGAATTGTGTTCTCCGATTATGGTGCTCCGGGGTAGCATATACACGCCGATGTTGAGCAAGATTGAACAATTATTGAACTTTCAGCTCGAATAAGTTTCATGCCACCAACCCTGCATGCCGTCTCGGAATCGATAACTCGATAGAGGTTCGTGTGGTTCGTTGAACGGAATCGCCACTCTTATTGTTGTAGGAGGCACCCTTCGATTTAGACACACATACGCGCGTATATATATATGTATATATGTATATATATATATATATATATATATATATCATAATCAGTAAAATTGCTTTATTTTACATTCGGCGAAGTCACACAAAGGGACCCGGCGATGCCATTCATAACGAGATGATTGCTATTCGCTCGCGATTATTTTTAGGCCTTTTCGAAATTTCTATTTTTGCACATACAGATGCACGTTAAAATAACAATGTACAATACAACGAATTTGCTTTTATTAAGGAAAGGAATGTTGTTATTTTCGCTAGAAAAGAGAGAGAGAGAGATGCTATAATTTTATTTAAACATTTAACTGCCGGAACACTAAATTAAAAAAAATAATAGATAATTATGCATAAGTATTAAATCTCACTTTATTTAACTTTATTTATTTATTTAAACATATATTAAATACTCACCAAGTATTGATTGGTCACATTGGAATCGCCATAAGGGTACGGCGTATAAACGGCCAGAGCGACGCAGTTCGCAAATATCGTCATAAGGATGAGATATTCGAAGGCTCTGCGGAATGACGTTGATAAAATCGAGTCGATTAAGGAAAATACAGGGTGGTCATTCGCGCGTTAATCCTTTCCGTCGCAGATTGTCGCCAATATTGACCCCAATATCAACATCGTACCGAACATGGGAATTAGGGTCAATCTAGAGAAAAGCGGTTTAATATCAAACGCGTTATTAATGTCAGGTTCGCAAATATATATCGTTGATATCGGACGCGATCTCTGAACTTTGATATTTAATTTCTCCGGCCATCGGAGGCCGGCAATTATCTCATTAATTGTGAAAGTGTATGTATATATATGCGAGAACAAAAGGATACTTCCACTCGACGACTTTGATACACAGCTTCCTAACAGGATTCGTGAGGGCCAGGCAGAAGAGCGCCCGAACGGGTCGGTCGGGTGGCGGCTTGGCCCCCCGTCTGACGGGCCTCTTCTGGGCCGCCTTGGAGGCAGCGCCGGCGGCCCCGGGGCCCGTCTGCGACGGCGGCGGCTGCGCGTTCGCCAGCTGCATCGCGTCCATCGCGCCACCGACGTGAAGTTGCTGGCCGACGTTGGGGGGGATCGCGATGTAGGGGGTTGCGGCAATCGGCTGGGTCCCCGGCAGCAGAGCAGGTGGGCCCAACGCCGAGCCCCCATCCCCCCCCGCGCTCATCGGTCGCTGGTGTCGAGCTCCGTGCTTCCTGTGCTACGACGACGATCACACGTTCTTCTTCTTCTCCAACGACGACGCTCCAGGGATTGGTGCCCGGCCACGCAGATGGCGGCGAACGACGCCGATCGACGCGGTGTCTCAGAGGCGCACCACCACGCGCTGCAGCTCGCCGGCATGCTACGGCACTGGGCTGCTATGAAGCTCCTTCCGTGACCTGCGATGAAAGGTCGGGGTTCATGAGAGGGGACGATAGAGAGCGAGAGGGAGAAAGAGAGAAAGAGAGCCCTTTCGACCGTAACGGCCGACCGCGAGTGCATCGCGACGAGTATCCTATAAATTGTAATTATTCATGAGCTAATGCCACGATGCATTTACGAGAATGAGCCGATGTGCACTCTCACGAAAGCGCTTCCGAAACGCACGCGTAAATTATACCAATACTTCCGAAGATGTAACATTTACTTTTGAGTTCATATTACAATGGAAATAATTTTAACATTTAAATGTAAGTGGAGGAGAACGAGTTTCGCGATTCATTTTAATCATTTTATCTCATTTTACAGATCAGCTCATAATTATCAGTCGATTATCTTTTGTACATTACATTTTTACTGCTTGCAAGTATAATTTGTATCACGAATAATAGATTAAATTGGCGCCTTATTATTCAGCATTGATCAAGATTTCGTTTAAATACATGTAATAAAATAAGATTAGGCTAAAATGTAACGCGTGGCGAGAAGGAAATAAATTAGATATTATGCAGAAAAAGAAAAAAAAACCAGAAGCGGCACGCAAAGTCGGTGATCCCACGCATTCTATCCGGAAAAAGCGAGATATTTCAAGCAATTCGAAAATCCGCCAGTCTCAAACGACGCAATTATACCTTTGACGGTGCAAATCCACCAGCGAAAGCAACGTGTACAATGCGTTGGGGGTCATGCAGCTTTCGCCCCCTATCCGGGAAGGATGCATAGTGGCGCGGGCTTTCGATTGCGCCGTGGGTGCAATAAAAAGATAACGGCGGCTGCCGAATGAAAAGAACTCGATTATTTCGGGCACAGCCTTCGTACCGATCCCGGCGCTACCTATATCAGCCGCGGTATTCTCTGCAGGAAATCTGGTCATTTATTTCCCTCAATTGCGAGAAACGTTGGCAGAGAACGGCCGAAAATTTGTTACGCCGCTAATGGAATAATAAGATTAATTCGCCACCGAAAGACTCGCGCGCGATTATACCTTCGGTTTCCCCAGTTTCCCAAACAATAGAAAGATTATTTTATTTCTCTCTCATTCTTTATCATTAGAGATATTTTATATTTCAGCGACAATTTTGATTATTTCCCTTTAGGCTCACGACTAAATCGTAAACTGTTTTTAACTCCCACACGGTATCCATCCGATATAATCGATTGTATGATGAAGAGGTAACGGCAGATAAGCCATTCGCGTTAGACAACCATGATTGCGGTGAAAAATTGCGGGACACATTATCTAAAGGCACATTTATTCCACCCTCTTCAAGTTTCTCCGCCGGAAACGGTAAATCCTCGCGTAAATTGGACGCAGATCGCACGCGGTAACAACGACAATTACTCGTGATAAAAATCAATAGATAACGTTACAATACGTTCGCGTTACGATATACGAACGGTCGATCCTTTCCCGACCTCCCCCGTAATCCCGCTATCGCGCACAATAAATCGCTCGTGGAGAGGACCGCTGTTGCAACGGACAATTCTTCGCGATTTAACAAACGCGTTGGCTTTTCGAACAATTTTCTTGTAATTTTCCGCTTTCGCGGAAAGCTCGCGAGACCCGCCGTTTAAAAGTCGACATGATCGATTCCGGCTGATCCCGTCCCCGTAAATCCGCGGCGGCTCTCCATCGACCGCCTCGCGCTAATCCATGCCGCGCAAAAAGCACGAGCCCTTTGAAAGCGAGCCTCAGCTGATAGGATAATTCTGAAATAGATGGCCATCTCTTTCGTGATTGACGTGGCCACGTTAAAATATTTGCTTAAAGTCCTTGTAAACGATAAATTTTCGAGGCAATGCTTTACTGGATAAACGTTAGCGTGGAAATCGAAAATATAACGACGTATAATTAAAAGAAATTTACTGAAATTTATACAGTTAAAAATATATAAATGTAAATACATTTTATTTATATACATGAAAATTTATTTTATTTTTCTCAATTAAAACATTTTATTAATGTAATCTATATAATTGTTTGTTTAAAAAATTTGATACATCTCTCGCTTGAGTCATTTACACTACATACCCTTATTTATTTTATCAATGTTTTTTTTTTTTTTATTAAAACAATATTATATTATTTTACTGTTTTATATCGATGCATATTGGTATATCATTAAAATGACTTCCTGTTTTTCGTTTGCTCTCCTGAAAAATCAGTCGTGGAAGTAAGTACGTGTTGCAAAGAAATCCAACGCTTTACGTGCCGCGCATCCGTCGCCGCGGCGGATGCCCAAAACAATCTTCGTCGCCGAGCGACGCGTTCATCCGAAGGAAACGTCGCAATGGCTGCGAGTGAGACCGGGGACCTGGGATTTATAGCCGAGTCCGTGCTATATTTAGTGTGCCTAAATACTAGAAAGCTCTACGTACGGGCGAGTCTCTCGCCTCTCCTCGTCCTGCCTCGTGTCGCGACACGTCGTGAACTTGTCTTGCGATCTAATCGCCTCTACCGCCTCTCTACTTTGAGCCACAATACGATTCCGCTCAGAATTCCGCGGAATACCCGGTAACGAATTGTTACCACCTCGCGCACGAAATATTCCGCGGCGTATCTCGTTACGGCGTTTTGTTCGAGCCACTTTGTCCTCGAGGTATTGTTCTTGGGAGAGCAAACAGCGCATCTCGCGACATAATTCCACTCAACTTCGTGAAAGGGAAAGGGAACGCACGTATCATTGTACAAATTATTTATACGGGTAGTGATAGAGAGCATCTTATCTTCTTAATTATTCGCGACGTAATGATTCCTAAAATTCGCGGTCCCTGTTGCGAGGATTTCTGTGATTCAGAATGACGAAATAGAGTGCAATAGGCGTGCCTTCGCGTAGATTTATAGATAGCAATGAGGCACGTAACTAGAGATGAGTCATACAGTTTCTAGCATTTGGCGTAATTCTACAAAGCCCACGGATACGTGTGTGTGCCGCTGATTGCTTGGAATGCAAGTTTTAATATCGCTCTATTATCGTGCGGGAGAAAAAGAATTTAATTTCTTTTATTAATATTTAATTTGTCCGGATTTCAATTTAATAACATCGTATTTAACATTTTGTTCAACATAGCGCGGGACAGGATAAATCCAATCGTAAATATGTAAATTAAGCGCGTGAAGGCGCATAATTAAATCAGCATCAAATTAATCCCGCGGTCAATTTAAACATGAGATATTTAAAAGATAAAGATTACTTTGTGGCGAACGCGAATTACGAGGCGTGCGCTTCCTCTTTATCCGTAACACAACACAATTACCTTACGAATTACTTGAAAATTATTTATATGTTACGTATATACATATATATATATTTATATGTTACGTATATACATATATATATATATATTTATATGTTACGTGTGTGTATATATATATATATATGTGTGTGTGTGTGTGTGTGTGTGTGTGTGTGTGTGTGTGTGTGTGTGTGTGTGTGTAGTAAG